TGGTTCGAAATTCGAACCGAACTCGAACCAGACTTTTAATTAGGTTCGAATTTTCGAACCGGACTTTTCGTCAGGTTTGAGTCCGGTTCAAGCTCGAACCGAACCAGACTCGAACTGAACCAGACTTTTTTTCGGAACCCTACAAGGAATGGCAAACACCATTAAATGAATAGATTAGTGCTCATTTAATGATGTTTGCCATTCCTAGCTATCTTTTTTCCTGCAAGAGCAGGAGATTTTTAAAGATTAGTTATCAAATATTATAATAAAATTTGATCAATTTAAAAAATCTCCTGCTCTTGCAGGAAAAAGGTAACCAGGAATGGTAAACATCATTAAATGAGTATTAATCTATCCATTTAATGATATTTATCATTTCTGGCTATTGTTACATTTATTTTTAATAATTTCATAATTAATAAATTTTTCAAAAATAGTAGAAAATATAAAAATTTTCAAAAATAATAACAAAATAACAAACTGATGAAAATAGTATATATATATCAATTATTTAAAAATCATATAATTATTATTATTATTTACCTTTTCTACTTTTATTTTCTATCTTTTCTACTCTTTTTATCTTTATTTTACTTTTTCTACTGTTTCTATCTTTATTTTTTACTTTTTCTACTCTTTTTACCTTTATTTTCTATCTTTTCTACTCTTTTTATCTTTATTATTTACTTTTTCTACCTTTTATACCTTTATTAATTATCTTTTCTATCTTTTTTAACTTTGTTATTTATCTTTTCTATCTTTATTATTTACCTTTTCTATCTTTATTACTTTTACTTTCTACCTTTTCTACCTTTTCTACCTTTTTTGTTTATCTTTTTTATTTTTTATATATATCTTTTTATAATTTTATAATTTTATAACATAGATAGACTAAAATGTATTGAGAAATTTTGTATAAATAGGAGTGCTCTCTCATGTTTCAATCTCATATTTTAATGCTTAAACAAATTAATAAATTTTAATTTTTATACAATAAGTTAATGATTGTCTTATTATTATAAAATTAATATTTATTCTTGTATCTTCTTCTGTCAAATCAAGTTGTCTGGCAAAAATAATTTGTTGATTAACCTTCAAATCTTGTAATTCAAGTCACTTTTCATAAATCTTGAGCAAGATCAAGAAATCAAATATTGATTTGTTTAGAATTGAAATTCTAATTATTAATTTTGTCTTTAAATTTGAAAAAAATAATTAAAATATTTTTGGATAAGTATATTAATTTGCTATAGCATTATTTTTGTATAGTTATGCATTACAACTCTAAATAAGTGATATTTTCTTTAGTTATTTATTTTTTTTTGATATTGAAAGTACTAAAATATATAACTGCAAATATAAAAATATTAATATTCTTTTCTTTAGTTAGTAATCCTTATTAGTTAATTGTCTCTTTGAAAAACTTTTCCAACTCCTCTTTTTATCTTTAATAGAATTATTTAACAATTTTTGTCAAAATTGACACAGATTTAGGTTGTAACAATTTTCACATACCCTTGTAATTTCTTGTACATGTATCATATTTATCCTTTTTTGTGTTATGTTTATCATTTCTTGCATAAAATGTTAGAAATTAACACAGATCTATATTTAATACTTTTTAATGTTGTGCTAATTAGATTAGATATGAAATATAGATCATATTATTAATTTGAATACACATTGTTTTTAATTACTTTTATTTTTATTCATTTTTTTCTTTTATTATTTAATTCGAATTATTTATCTTTTATTATTATTTATATTTCATACATATTCATTAAGTATAGTATAATTTGGAGATGCGTCACCTTTAAGATTAATAATTTAAAACTAATTACTTTCTATTTTATTATTAAATTATTTGTAATTTGTTTAATATCAATTATTTATTTAAATGTCTCTGTTCTGTACTATAGCTCTTTAGATCTTTTCATTATTTAATAAATAAAGAAATAAGCTTTATTAAAGTTAAAACTGAAAACTATCTCAATTGATATAATTTATTTACAACAATTAATAAATTTATCTTATTACTTTTCACGTAAGAAAGTATTCTTATATTAATTTACTTTAATTACTTTATAGTAAATATTTATTTTACTATAGTAATAATAAACTATAATTATAAGTAAAGTTGTATTAAGAAATAAGAGCTACAATTTGATATAAGATAGTTGCTATTAATAATGATTATTCAAAGAGATATATAGAATTTATGATAAAATTTTATAATTATAAAAATAAAAATAATTTAATTATCATTAAGTAAACTTTTAATTTTTACTAAATAATATAATTGATACTTATAATTAAAGTTGTGATTCTTACTTAGGGCTACAAATCAGTTTATGTTACTATATGCTAATTTCTAATCAAACTCGAATCAGACTTGAACTCGCACAATAATTTTTTCTTGAACTCAAGCCAAAGTCCAGTTCAAGTTCAGTTTGAATTTCGAATCAGACTCGAATCCAGACAAAAGTCCGATTCAGTTCATAGGAACACTAGTTAAGACTAGGATTGAAGAAAAGATTATATGTAAAATTATCTTCCCGACATTTTTTTATTAGTGCTTCAAGCCAGGTTTCCCACATTTTAATTTTCTTGTGTCGTATTTGTTTTGCCGGGTTGATCAAAATTTATGCATCTTTATTGGTTGAATTAGAAGACCCGGTGTGCAGTCAACCAATTTGGGAAGAAATTAGTACATGTAAATGCTGGTCGTGTCTATTTAAGCATTGATCGGATTTACTTGAATGTGCGGGGAATACAGGTAACGCTAATTTATCACTTAGGTTAGAACTAGAAGACTTAATATAAAATTGTCTTCGTGATATTTTTATTAGTGTTTCAGGTCATATTTCTCACATTTTCGCTTTTTTTATTTCTTGTATGGTGCATCCAATATATCCAATACTTTAAACTGTAAAGGATTTTCATCCAAACACTTGAATCACAGTTCTCATCAAAGGTTATTTAGCAACATATTTTTTGTGGTTAGCGTTAGTGTTTGGATGCAAATCCTTTACAGTTTAAAATATTGGATATATCGATATTGGATGTCTTTAGACCGTTTGATTTGTTTTGTCTGGTTGATCAAAAATTTGCTCATTCTTATTGGTTTTGAACCATCCACCCTCTATTTTTGGGTTTGTATTAACCCTAAATTAATGTTACAAGCCACATCTTTCCTATTCGGGAAGTTAGTATTTCATCCATTTAAGTACCAAAGTGCAGATTCTATTGAATTTATATTGTTCTGCACGTTGTATAGACATATTCCCCCCTGATATTGAATAAAGAAAGCCAACTTTTCCTATTATGCTACTTATTAATTAGTGCGATTACTTTTTATACTCTCAACTGTTCACTTATATTAGAAATGGTTAATGATAAGGGTATTGGTATGCTATTAATAACTTTGCTACTTGCAGACGGGGATAAAAATAACAATAGCGATAGTTACTGATGTTTTCTGTTATAACTCCTTAGCTTACTATAACAATAACGATAATACCAACAACAACAGTAGCAGTTCATTGACTACATGCTCATCGGGAACAAGTACGCTAAATTCTAATAACACCAGTTCGTCGAAGCTTTATGGGAGATTGCCGGCTAATTTACGTTCATGTTTAACAACAATAATCATTAAAAATAATTCTGTTGTTGAATATCGCTTGCCTATTGATTACAGCCGGTTACTAATTTCGGAAACAAAGTCAAGGCAGTCTCCAAATACTAGCGCTAGGATTCGCCAAGTCTTACAAATCGATGATATTAATCAAAAATTGCTCTTTGAAGGAGTAGAGATTGACGAAAATTCGATTGATGATTTCAAAAAGTTTTTAGTTCGTTTCATTATTTCAAATAACACAAAAACGAACGCAATACATTTTGAAATAATTAAAGAACGAATTTTCATTGAAGTTGATATTAGGAGTCTAAAACCTAATGCGGAATTAAATTCGGCTGTTCAAGACGCGTTATCATCGCCAACTCCAATTTGCGAATTACGTTTAGTATTCGAAAAATACGGACACTTTGTCCCTATCAAACTCGTAATGGGTGACAAATTACAACAAAATATTAAAACTTATGAAAAATTTGCGGAAAAGGATATTGTCACAAAGAATTATGAAGGGTTTTCAGAAAATGGTAAGAATTCGAAATTCGAAACTTCTTTTTTTATCCGCATTTTATTTATAAATACAAATTATTCCTTTGCAGAAATTACAAGTATTCTACATTCTTCGGTTGTATATGCTGTTAACGGAGACCCGCTTGATATCAGGTACTTAACAAATCGATTTTACAATGATAATTTTTTACGAGAAATTCATTATCCTTCATTCAAACTAGTCAAATTCCAAGCTGGTTCGAAAAGACCTCAAATAAAGAACGCGTTATAAAACGTGTTGTAGTACCGATCATTAAAATCCTTGATCACGAACAACAACTAAAGATAGAAGATCTCTTCACAAAAGAAAACCGGGTTCTTATGAAAAATAAGACACTGCTTATGGATACATCTAAAAGCTATTATCGATTCTTTTTCGATAAGCCATTGAAAAGCTATAATTATCAAATCTTTGGAAAACTAGTATCTCTTGAGGGATCAGATATCGATGTGAAATTCAATTTGAAATCAGAGTCTGGATTCTCGGTTAATTGGGACAAAAAAAGAAAAATAAAGGGGTAAGCCTATAATATATCATATTACCTTGATACAAGTTTCTTGTACTGATCTCAAATTAATGTATTTCAAAGGTCGATTGAACTTGAATGGATGTTAATTGGTTGCCCGAGTGAAATTGGGTATTATGACTCTAAAACTCGTGATATCTCTGTAAAAACAGGTTTTGTCGAATTAAAACTTGAACCGAGAAATGAAATAAAAAATAAAAATGGATCGAAATCATGGTCTAAACGCATTGATGTCGGAATATCTCTTTCGCAACACCATGCTATTTCAATAGACGTTGAGTTTGCTTCGGCCTCCAATAAAATGATGTTCTTTCAATCGAGCTGTTCAGTAATATTTAGATCCGTTGTCGAAGTACGAATCGAAACTTACGAAGTTGAGACTCTTGAGTTAATAGAAAAAGATAAGGAGTTTTTCCTCAATATCCGATGGTGTGTAGTCACTGGATAGTCCAGTTTTTTGAATTGGACACTAGACAGTCCAGTCCCAAGTTAATTGATCCGTGTCCAACACTTGGATTAGACACGTGATTTACTTTTGATAGACAATGATCAGCAATCCGATTTCCGAGACAATTGTCTCCATAGTAAGTCGCATATATTTTACATACGCTTCATACTTCATTTTATACTTCATTGACAGCATATAGACTTCATATACCCTTAATATACTTCTTTAATACATGGACTTTATAGCACATACACTTATGTACTTCATATGTACTTTATAACATATACACTTCATCCTTTCCTATGAACTATATAGCATATATACACTTCATATAGATGTCATACATCATATAGATTTCATATAAACGTATCTTCGTTAATAGCAGCATGGTTAAAAATCTAATGATTAGTTTTTTGGGATCTAATCACTTCTTAAATTATTATTCATTCATTAGATTTTTAACCATGCTGTTAATAACATATACACTTTGTTAATACGTATAATGAGTGAGGAACTCGCCAGGGCGACGTGATAATTCTTTGATGACGTCGACGATGCGAAAAGGGTTAGGGTTTGGATCTGGATCAAGGTTATTTGACAAACAAAAAAATGTATTTATAGTAAAATTTCGCAAGGAACATTTTTTATTAGAACACAAAAGATAGTTTCATAGGTTAGATTTTGAGATACAAGCTTTTTTTTATTTTGAATTTTTGTGTTACACGTTGATCATCGCTGACATCTCAAAAAATTATCACGTGTACCGAACTTTTGGGGATCCGCTTGGTGAATTCATAAATCCAGTCACATCAAATTACATAATTACAATTTCAAATTTAAGAAGTTGATCATTTCTATTTAAGTTATTATATATAATGCCAATTAGAATTTTCATAAAAAAATAATGTATTTTTGCATGATAAAATTCAGCCAATTAAAAATAGTTATCAACAAAATAATATTGCTATAGTTACTTTAAATGAAGGGTTTCTTCACTATTAGTAAAAGAGTCATATGAGTTGGGAGAGAGGAATAAACTAATAAAATTGATCAGTGCAAAAATAAGTATCTAAGCCTGTGCCAATTTTGACAGAAATTGTTAAACAATTCTATCAAAGATGAAAAGAGAGGTTGGGAGAGTGTGTTCAGAGAGGTAATTGATAAAAAGAGGTTACTAACTAAAGAAAAGGATATTGATATTTCTATACTTGTAGTCATACATTCTAGTGCTTTCAATACCAAAAGAAATAAATAACTAAAAAAATTATCACTTATTTAAAGTTGCAGTACATAATTATACCAAAAATAATATTATAGCAAATCAAAATACTTATCCAAAAAAATACTTCGCCATCTTTTCCAAATTCAAAAACAAAAATAATAATCAAAAATTCAATTCTACACAAATCAATATTTGGTTTCTTAATCTTATTCAAGATTTACAAAAAGCAACTTGAATTACAAGATTTGAAGTTTAATTAACAAATTATTTTTGCCAGACAACTTGTTTCGACGGAAGAAAATACAAGGATAAATATTAATTTTATAACAATAAAGCAAATGTTAACTTTATTGTAGCAAGATTAAAATTTATTAATTTATTTAAGCATTGAAACATGAGATTGATACATAGTAAAGGTAGAAAAGATAAATATCGAAGATAAAAAAGATAAAAAAAGTAGATAAATAAGATAGAAAAGGTAGATAATTAGAGTAGAAAAGGTAGAAAAGGTAAATAAATAGAATAGAAAAGATAAAAAAGATAGATAAATAAGGTATAAAAGGTAAAAGAGATAGAAAATAAAGGTAGAAAAAGTAGAAAAGGTAGAAAATAAAGATAAAAAAGTAGAAAAAATAGAAAATAAAGGTAAAAAAAGTAGAAAAGGTAAAAAATAAAAGTATGAAAAATAGAAAAGGTAGTTAAATAAGGTATAAAAGGTAGGAAGTTAGAAAATAAAGATAAAAAAGTAAATAATAGTTATTATATGATTATTAAATGTATGTACTATTTTTATCGATTTGTTGTTTTGTTATTATTTTTGAGGATTTTTATATTTTTTACTATTTTTGAAAAATTCATTAATTACGAAATCATTAAAAATAAATGTAATAATAGCTTACTTTTATTTTGTTGCTGGTTTTAATTTATCAATAAAGTAAATAACTTGATCTAGATCATCCATATCTTCTATTTATCCAACTAGATTTCTGAATTTGATATCATATTCCAGTTTGACAAAGTTATTTTAAGTTGTTTTCTTAAATGCTATTAATAATTTGATGGTTGAAAAGCATTGTATAATTTTTGAGTGAAAGTATCAAAGTCAGTAAAGATAAAATTGATATTATTGATATTTGCCTTTAATTTGTTAAGATACCAGTAAATATTCAAGTTCAGTTAATATATAATTTATTTTTGCTTCATTATTGGTAATATTTTGAACTGAGAAGATACTTTTAATTCTTAGTAACCAAACCAAAATATTTTTATTTGGTTCACCTTTATGAATTGAAATTTTTACTAAAATTTTTGGATTGTAGTTTTCATCTTTATTATTTATGCTAAATACTTAATTAATATCACTGCCAGTAACATTTTCATCTGTTGTTGCTGTAACTATTGAAGCTGCTAATTTTGTATTTTCAATTAATTTTGATGAGATTGAATAGTGTTAGTAAGAATTTATTATTATTTTAACAATTCATAAATTATTGAAATTATTGTGAATTTATTATAGTATATATATTGATAAATATAAGTATAAAATATATTTAAAGTGTATATATAAAGTGTCTGTATGTAAAATGTGTTTGTAAAGTATATATTGTAGCTTTAATAATCTTTATCTGTTGCTATCAAGTTATAAGAATACTTTTTTACATGAAAAGTATTAAGATAAATTTATTAATTATTGTAAATAAATTATATCAATTGAGATAGTTTTCAGTTTTAATTTTAATAAAGCTTATTCTTTATTTATTAAATAATGAAAAGATTTAAAGAGCTATAGTACAGAACAGAGATATTTAAATATATAATTGATATTTAATGAATTACAAATAAATTAATAATAAAATAGAGAGTAATTGGTTCTAAATTATTTAATTTAAATATGATGTATCTCCAAATTATACTATACTTAATTAGATAAATATAAAATATAAAATATAAAATATAAATAATAATAAAAGTAATTAATACAAATTTAAAATAATAAATAAAAAAGAAAAGAACAAATAAAAAAAAAGGAATTAAAAACAAGATGTGTCTAAATTAATAATGTGTTCTACATTTTATATTTAATCTATTTGGTGAAACATTAAGAAATATTAACTGTAGATCTATATTAATTTCTAATATGTTATACAAAAAATAATGGATATGATACAAGAAAATACAAGAGCATATGAAAATTGTTACATTAATTATAAAAAATTTTTGCAATAATTTTGCAATTAAAATAATTTTGTTAGAAAAAAATTCAGAAAAAATATATACTAAAATATAACTTATAATTTTTATTTTAATACAAAATAAAAAATATTTATTAATAAAATTGAAAGCTTTTATATAAGACAAAAATTTCAATTTTTACTATATTTTATTAATAAAATTGCACACAAGATTCCATAATTTTGTAATATAAAAGTAAAAAATATTTATTAGTAAAATTAAAACTGTTATATAAAGAGAAAAACTTGTATTTAATTAATAAAATTTCATGTTATTGCATTATTTTTGATTGTTAATATATTAAATTATAATATTATAATATTTAAGTATTTTTATAAATTTATTCAAATAATTTACAATATAAATATTAATAAAATTATTTTCCAGTAGAATAATAAATAAGCAAATTATTAATTTAATAAAATAATACTTCAAAATAATAATATATTTATTTTAAATTAATTGCTATAATTACTGGATTTTATTTTTATTGAGCATTTTCAAATAAGATTGATTGTTTTTACTGTTTTTTAATATATTGATATGTACCAATTTAATTTAATTAATGCTGAAAAGAATCTGTAATATAGTAAATTCAGAATAAATATATTAGATTTTAATGAATTGTATAATACTTCAATATTTGATATAATAAAGAATCTTTATAAGTATAATAGTTATATAATATTTTCTTTATATTATTTTTAGTAAAAATTTTTTCTTATATTGAAAATAAGTTCTACTTATTTTTCATTATAATATAATCCATGAAACAAATGATAATATTTAAAGCTCTGTTCGAGTCGGGTCGGGTTTGACCCGAAAATCGTAAAATATTTTTTCGTTAATAACTTTTATTTTTACTAAGACATTTGTATTTTGTGTCTTAAGTAGAGTTGTATGGAATGTAATTGTGTATATATCCACAAAATTTTGTTTAATTTCAATTAATATTGAACGAGAAATAATGATTTTTAGGCTGACCCGAAATATTTCGGGTCGGGTTTGAGGTCAACCCGAACCGGGATTTTTGTGTCGGGTTTCGGTTGACCCGAATCAATTGGAGCTTTAATAATATTACATATTTTAGCATATAGTTTTTCAGATTTTTTAGATTTAATTTTATATGACATCCTCTAATTGCATATAAAGTCAATAAATTTTTTTATTGGCTTTATGCAATTAGATAAAATTAAATTTAAAATATCTGAAAAAAATACATGTTAAAATGTGTGAGATTATCTTCATTTTGATGTAAAAATAAAAATATTTATTAGTAAAATTAAAAAACTTTATATAAAGAGAAATACCTGCATTTTTCGTATTTTTATTAATAAATTTTTTTGCCGTTGCATTCTTTTTTATTGCTACTGTATAATAGTAAAAACTATAATATAAATATATCAATTGTAATTTGATATTTTAAATCTGGTAAAATATCATGATTTAAAAATTTTTAATTTTTTGTTGGATTGTATATCAATCAACTTTTACAATTAATAAAATTACATGTAGTTTCCTTATCGTTAACAAAGAAACTATTATAACGAGTATCATCAGTAAAAATTGGAATAGTCCAACTTGTAATGTTTGATATGTTGATCTCGTAATTGTTCAAAAACTATTATGACCAGCAACTTTAATACTGAACAACATTAAATTTAACAAAATAATGCTATTTTTTAAAAAAATAGGTTTGTTTGCACACAATACATGTATTTGCAATATCATATTTATATTTATTACATGTATCTTCAGAATTTGGCTATTACGTTTACGCACATAGCATTATTCTTATCCTCGAATAATTGATTCCGAAACGTACATGTATTAACAGCAAAATATTTGAAATAGTAAAATGATCTGTTCTGTATATTATTATTCATCATAAAATGGCGAGAATGGATTAGAGCTAACTAATGGTATACTTAAAAGAGATGGACCCGAGCTACTCGAATCAAGAGGCTGACGAGATTCGACCGAAGATAATTCAGACATATTTAGGTTTGTTAACGGAGGAATTAACATAACTAGAGCAGATTGTTCAGCTTGCAATGGCTGAGCTGAAATGTTAGGATTCACCCATGGAAGTGATCGGGAATTTGGAACAGATTGTTCAGCTTGCAATGGCTGAGTTGAAGTGTTAGGATTTACCCATGGAATTGATGGAAGTGGTCGGGAATTTGGAGCGGATTGTTCAGCTTGCAATGGCTGAATTGATGGGTTAGGTTTTAGTGGACTCTCCCATGGGAATGACGGTAGTGATTGGGAATTTGAAATTAATGATTGTTGTGTTGAATTTTGCATCGTCGAAGCTGTTAATTCGTGGAAACTTTCGGAATTTCTGTGCCTTTTTGTATTGTTTCTACGATAAAAGAAAAATACAAGACCGGCTAAAAGAATAACACCTAAAATTCCTCCTATGACACCACCTACTATACTGCCAACATTTGCTTTACTTTTCGGAGATGTCGAATTTGAGCCAGAGAATTGAGTCGAACCAGGCATGTTTGAATTTGGTAGCTCCTTTGTTGATTTTGAACCAGTTTCTTCATTAAGTGAAGATACCCATGTATAATCCTCTACTTTAAGAATCGAAATAAAACTTGTATTTGATACACTTTCTCCAGTTGATATTGCCAATTTGTCTTCAATATGATTTTTCTTCCATGGTTTGATTTGATCGCCTTCAAATAGATTTGCATACGATATGGTATCCACAATGTCTTTCCCTGAACAGAAGTAAAGAGCGATTAGCTTCTATCTATTCAAAAAATATTTTTTAAAAAAGAAAATTACGTACCGAATGCAACGAGCATATAAGCATCGTTGATAGTCGTTGCAGTATGATAGTAAGGAATAGTTTGATTATTCGGTATCTTATGTGTGCTCCAACTGTAAATTTCATCGTCATTTATATCCAGAATTGCCAAAGCATTATTAGAATTAAGAGGTTGTGTTGAAAGTCCGCCGTAAATGATGACCTTGTTTTGCACTATAAATTCATAAACTAATATTTAATAACATTATAATATTAATTTTATCTTAAAAAGTTTAAATTACCTAAGCATGCTGAATGTCCATATCGACCGTCTATGTTATTTGTATCCGTCTTTGAAATTTATAGAGACTTAGAGGATAGAAACGATTATATATATTTGAAACAGAAAAAAATTTACCATTGTCAATTTATTATCTGAAATACTGTATATCCAACTCTACCAATAATATATTTAGTGAATCATATGAAACAAAATAAAAGAGAGAAACGATTATATATATTTGAAAACATAAAGAAATTTACCATTTTCAATTTATTATCTGAAATACTGTATATCCAAATCTACAAATAATAAATTTAGTGAATCATATGAAACAAAATAAAAGAGAGAAACTTTTTTTGAAGATTTGAAACCTGATTCATTGGTATTAAATTTCCATTAAAAGATTTGCCGCCTATGTAGATTATGGAATTAGAGTTTGGTAAATATGTAGCAGTAAAACCAGAAACTGGTAATTTTGATCGATCAAAATCTTCATTTGTGATGGGGTCCAAAGGATTCCAAGATTTTCTATATGTATCGTAAACAAACATTTTACAATCTGGTGGTAATGATTTTGAAAAGGTTTGTTGAGCAAATATAGCGAAAACATAAATTTTCCCAGATGAATCGATTATCGCATTGACAGTAGTTGGATTATACATTAGTCTATCAAGGGATTTCCAAGATGATATTTCATTCGATATATCAATAGAGAAGAAGCCTTGATATAACTTTTAAATTAAACAATTGTGAAAATTTATTCTTTATATTACTTAAAATACAAAGAGTTAAGAATTACCGTTGTGCCATCACGACCTTTATATACGTAAATCTTTGAATTATTTATCACTGAGGTTGCGAAAACTACCTCGGGAGGATTACTAATTATTTGTTGCTGTTCAAATTTTAGTGATTTTACTTCAAGTGTAAAGAAATCAACTGAAATGCTATCGTCATCTAATGCTCCTCCAAAAAAGTAAATTTTATTTTCAGTGTCATTATAATTCGCAGTATGCCCATAACGTTTTGACGGAATAAATCCAGATGCGTTTGTCAACAAGAATGATAAAATAATCGCAATAATTTTATAATTTAATAAATTCATTATAGAAATAAATTTTTTCAATGATATGAAACGACGTTGAAATATGGAAGTTTAAGTACTATATTTTCTTTTATTTATATTTGTACTAAATAATACATGTAATGTACTGTTTCCAGGGTGTTCATTCATAGAGACCTTAAGAAAGAAGCATACATGTACATGTACTACGTACTGTATAATGATTATGATCACCAAAAATGATTGTACATGTACATATTAACGGGCGCAGCCAAAAAAATCCGGTTTTTATACATGTACTCGGTACGTATAACGATAACGATACGTAACGGTAATACGAATACTGTAATCCAAAATTTCTGATTCCCTGCCTGCCTATCGTTATCAAGAGTCACTATCGCTATTGCTACATTATAAATTTCTAATATAACCTTTGCCTTCGAGGAATTCTCCTAATATAATTATGCTTGTTATCATAATTCCAATCCAATATTCTCTTCCACTATCCTTATTCATATTTTTTTAGCTAGTGATTATCTATGAGAAAGTTTCAGAAAGAGTAACAGTTTTTCTCGTACGTACATGTACATGGCTTGCTAATGCTTAGTTGTCCAACATGACTACGATCATTAACTTTCATTGTCGTTCTTGAGTAATAATGCTAGAATGGGTGCATAGGCTTGAAAGTACATCTTTAATGTTTGCTCAATAATCAATAAGAGTTTACTTCCATTCGTACTATGCAAATTATGATTACTGGATTTTTTCTAAAATGCCTGGCGTTATTTTTCTTAAATCTTGCCCATTATTTGTCACAGTCACCGGCGAAAGCAACGGCGGTGAGATTGTTATGTGAGTTTTACTATAATAATAGTGCTAGATTTCTAGCAAGATGTTAATTAAAATAAAAAATCTAATGAACAAACATCACGGCAAGTCAAAATTTTCAAAACTTATTTTCTCGATAACCAGTGATCAGAATTTGTAAATTTAGTCTTAAAAACGTTCTAATTACACCAAGTACATTTTCAAAATATATATTAATTTTATAACAACTATTTTTAAAAGAAGCTCAATCTCATATTCTTCAAGAGGTAGCCCAAAGAGTTCATAAGGCTTGAAAGAATTATACAATTAAATGAAATATAATAAAAAACTTGCCATTACTTTGCCGGGGACTGTGTTTGCTCAGAAATAGCTGAATTTCCCATTTATAAGAGAAAACAATGTTATCGTTATCTTAAATAATTAAATATCGACATCGATATTAGTTATGTTACCTCTTATTACAACCTTTAATTATACCATAACCCTGTTAGCAAAGTCAAACATTGTCTTGCATGCCTTGCTGAATAAATATAATGTCTTTTTAATTTTACTAACTCGCTTCATAATTCATTATTACCGTCTACTAGTTTAACAAAAATTAGTTTTTAAAATCTCATTTATAAATTCCAATTTTCCTATTACGTCAAAATAAATAGACTATAAATTTTCTTGAATACTAGCGATGCGAACCAAACTGTGGGCTTGGTACTTGGTCTAGTCCCAAATATTCTTTACCTAATTTGCAATCACAAATTTTTCGTCATATGATAGTGGTTTCGAGTCGCGACGTTCTATTTTCAGTAAAGAACAGGTTTGGAGGTTCCGGGTTCCCAGTCGGTACCTATCACAATTTAGGGCTAAATTTCACAAGCTTTAAGATTAAATTCTGAGAAGCTGGAATTTACTAAGCTGATTTTATTATTTGTTAAAAAGAGTTGAAATCCGTAAGGTACAAAGTCTATTGTAATTCTTATGTAGTGAAGAGATACGAGAGAGTATGTCATTCATTAACGATTATATTGTTCTGAAATAGAAGGTAAAATCTTTACAGAGTCATTTAACTATTATCGATCTCAGATTTAGATAGTTGACAATTGTTTCTTCTCCAAATAATTAGCCATGTATGCTACTAGATTTTGAGTGTCTGTTGAACACAGACTAACGCTAAATGATCAAACTCCCATAACACAGGTTGTCTTCAATTTAAACCCTATCAGAGATCACCACGATAAAGTTCTAAAGACAGAAACGAATACGAATCAGACGAGACGACTAAGATTATGGATGTCAACAATTTTAACAAACATGATATCGTAATGGAATACTTGAACAAATTTCAATCATACAAGTCCCAAAAAAAGTTCCAACCCCTCTTTGGATTGGAATAGGTCAGAAAAGCAGCATTTTGAATAGTTTGCTTTTTTTCACTTTAACTGGTTCAAATTTAATATAATTTATAGAGTATGTTAAAAATGTGCTGTAGTTGCTAAAAACCTGGTTATTTTAAAAAAAATTTAAAATTTACTAAGCATCCATTATCAAGCGTATCGATTTTAAAGTTATATTTGCTATTTCTTTATTAAGCATTGATCAAAAAGTGTATTATATGAGGTGGATTGTATCTTGGTTAGAGCATTAAAAAATTGTGAAAAAAATTTTGATAATAGTAAAATGTGTACTAAAAGAAACAAAAGCTCTAAACAAAGCCTTTTTTATTTCTTTTGTTTATTGATGGAATAATTGAAATTATAAAAAAAAGGTATGAATTGTTGTTTTAGTTTTTTATTAGTTTGGGGATTTCTTCATGTGTATCTTTTTCTCCTTTTTTGCTACATCAATTAACTTTCTTATATTATCGGAAACATTTTCTTTACACCTTAAAGCTAGATGTGTGCTTCCATTAAATGAGGTTTGCCTCATTCCCAGCATTCATTTTCACAATGATGTCAAGAAGCACTATCCCTTGGATCGTCCAGCGTTCAAATTTAAATGCTAAAATTTTTTTTATACTAATTTTGTATAATTTCTTTTAATTTTGTATAATTCCTTTTAATTTACCTCCCCCCCCCCATTTCTAAGCTAAATTGGATTAGCGATTATTCATAATTACATTTCACGTGTATATAGATATTTGTTAATAATAATTGTATCGATCATTAGATCATATAAATCGCACATTGTGTGACTTGATAATCGCTTTTACTTTTTTGCCAGCATCACATATTGTTCCAAGTGACGTGACAAAAGTAAGCGGACTTAATCAAATCGAATGCCAGATTTTTCATCTCGTTGAGCAACTTCCATACCATCAACTTTCCTACAATATATACATGGACAACTATTTTTCTAGCATTCCTCTTTTTCGATTTCTTTGGCAGAATGGGATCGGTGCTTGTGGGACTGTACAAAAAACTTCCGCGAGTTTTCCAAAAGAATTAAAGCTGGATAAAGATATTAAACTTGATTGGGATGTTCGTTCTGGAGTTGTGGTAAATGATGTATTAGTTGTCCTCTGGCAAGATAACAGGCCAGATACGATGCTATCGATAATTCATGGAATTACTGGTGAAGAAACAGGAAAGACGATGACCAAGGGAAACAAGCACCAATGCAGCAAAGGTTCGAGCAGTGTTTGGTCCCGAATTTAAAAAAAATTAAAAATTCTGAATGTAATCAATGATTACAACCACTACATGAATGGTGTAGATATCACAGATCAATTACGTTCATATTACAGTACGCAGAAAGTAGCACAGCAAAATTGGATGCTCTTTTTTTTGGCTGCTCGATACTGTAATTATCAACTCATATCAGATCATTCGAACTGCAGGATCAATGCAAAAGCAGCAAGAGTTCCGCCACGAGCTTGTCTGGAATCTTATTAATTTTGCAAATGATACCGACGAATTCAACTAAGGAGGAATAGTTTGGATAAAGATGTGAAATAGCCGAAAGTAACAAAACATTTTGAGCTTTCAGATCAATGATTGGTTCCTGGAAACCACTTTGTAGAGTGGAAAGAAGAACGCAAAATGTGTAGGTGATATACGTGATTGGCGAACAAAAAAGAAATAGAAATGTATTGGAAAAATCCACATAGAAGTCATTTTTGGTGTGTAGCGTGTAATGTGCCTCTGTGTTGCAATAATACCAGGAATTGTTTTTTACAATTTCATACCAATAAATAAACATGAATTTATTTTTTTTTGTATTGCATCGTTGCGAAAACGTGGTGACGATTTTTTTTTAATTAATTAAAAAATAATTTTTTTTAATAGTTTAAATTTTAAATTGTACATTTTGATAAATAATTAATTAGGCACTTCATTTATGATTTCATAATTAATAAGAAATAAAAGTTTAAATTTTGTTAAATTAGTATTGATTTATTAAATGATAAAGTCGAGTCATTTTTTGCGACACGTGTCATATGTGACACTGCGGCTGGAAATTATGCCATGTGACTCAGGCTCTTAGGAATCATTTTAACCAATTAAAACGAAGTTTTTAATAAGAAAATTCTTCTCTAAGCCCGATTTACTTTTAATCATTTTAGCATACAAATTTGTCTGCTAAAACGGACGGTTTAAGAGATACTGTCCCATATAGATTACCAATATTGAATCTTCCCAAATAGCTGCTTTCGGTCTTCCAACAGTAGTTGAAGTTCTTTTAAAAAGCAAGTTTTCAAATTTTACACGTGTATTTGAACAAATGTAACGGTAATTGAGAATTAGGAATATCGAATACATTTGGAGTTAGACATTTGGATAGGATCCCAAATAAGAAAGGTTTGTTTTTGCTTATCCATCATATTTCTTAATTTCATAACACTTAGGGGAGCGCCAGAAACCAGCTGATTTCTACCCTGGGTAGGGGTTGAGTCAAAGATCAGGTATATATATGTTAGGTGACATTAATAATTATATATTAATTTAAATCGGTAGTTATATCATGTGAAGGGTTGGTAGAGATGCCTCTATAATACATGTAAATGAAAAGCAGCTGATTTTTGGCACTTCCCTTACCTATTTATGTATTTTTCGGAGTTCTATTGGGATATATATTTGGGATTGTGTTTATATTTAAATAACCCAAATCCCAAACCCAAACTACGTATACATGTATTGAAATGTCGTAATATAAAAATATTAGATTGGTTCGCATCTAAAGATACATTACATGTACTTGACTAAACTATTTTTGGATTGGCTAATGGTTTCGTCATTTTGCAAAAAATTCCTACTCTCACAAATCAGCTATTTGTATTTAACTTTCTATGCACAGACTCTTAACTTTATCATTTAATATATCGACACTTTCATAATTTAATAAATAGACTCGACCTCAGACAATTAAGTGGACAAAAAACAAAATATTTGTCAATAAATATTCGCAATAAACAAACGCGCAATTTTAAAAATAACTTAATACGTAACAATAAATTTAACATAAAATAATAAATAAATTTAACATAAAATAATACTTGCTATTGTCTTTATTTTTTTTTAAAAAAAACACATAGGTTTTTTTTGCGTTAGAAACTATTCGATGATGAATTTTGATATGAGAAATTCTTGTTAGTTTGTTATTGAGAAAAACTATCAACTAATCATCTTACAGTCCGGTGAAATTAATGGCGGCCAGTTTTTTTATTATATTTCATTTAATTATATAATAAATTAAAAATTATTTTAAAGTTCTTCTGAGTAGGGAGGGCTTATGCCCCTAAAATATCAGTACTTGGTATGCTCTCTTTCCGTGTCAATGCAAGTTTGAATATAATTTGAAGTTCTAAAATTTTGTTTTTAATTTTAAAAAAATAAATATTGAATGAAATCACTTCCAAAATGTTCGTCGGATATAAAAAACCAAAATTACAAAAATCTGATCACTGGTTATCGAGAAAATAAGTTTTGAAAGTTTTGGCGTGCTATTAGCGTTAGATTTTCGCAAATTCAGCTAATTGCTAGAAATATAGCACTATCATTTATATATTTTGCTTCTATAAAAATTTTTAGTAAAGTTAATATAACAATCTCACCGCCATTACTTTCGCCGGTGACTGTATAATGTACGTTTCTTCTATAAAATATCATATATTTATTCTCTTCAGGATTTGAATATTGTGTTTACATACATAGTATATTGTTATTGAATATTAATTAAGAACCAGTATCTCATTATAATGATTTCGAAACACCGAAATATTAGAATATTTATAGTAAAATATTTGAAGCAAAATAATAATTACATCAAAAAATAAATTATTCATCATATCTATAAAATGGTGATAATGGATTAGTGCTAACTAATGGGATACTTAAAAGAGATGGACCCGAGTTATTCGAGTCAAGAGGTTGACGAGATTCAACCGAAGACAACTCTGACATATTTAGGTTTGTTAACGGAGGAGTCAACATAACTGGAGCAGATTGTAATGACTGAGTTGAAGTGTTAGAATTTAGTGGACTCACCCACGGGATTGATGGAAGTGATCGGGAATCAGAAACTGGTGGAAATGATGATTTTTGTGTTGAATTTTGCCTCGTCGAAGCTGTTAATCCGCGGAGACTTTCGGAATTTCCGTGTTTACTTTTGTTCATTTTACGATAAAAGAAAAATACAAGGCCGGCTAAAAGTGCAACAACTAAAATTCCACCTATGACACCACCTACTATACCACCAATATTTTTTCCTTTTTCTGAAGTTGGATTTGATTGATTATGATCAGGTACCGGTACCCACGTATAATTACTATTCTGAACATCTACCTTAAGAATTGAAATAAACATTGTATTCGATGTGACATCTCCATCCAAGCCATTCTTTCCAATATGATCTATATTCGATGTGATATCACCATTAGCTTCTTTCCCTAAAAAATAAAAAGTGCGATTAGACTTGATTTATTTATAAATTATTTTTTTTAAAAAAAGATTACCGAATGCAACGATCATATAAGTATCATTGTTGATAATTGTTGCAGTATGATAATAAGGAATAGCGA